CATTTTAGGATGCATTTCCATAGGATCTGATTCATGAATTTAGGTTGAGTATATATTTGGGTCACTAACTGCTGAAGTTTCAAATTCTCTGTTCAGTTTTCATGTAGTTCGAGAGAGTTCTAGTTTTGAACGTCCAGTTATAGATAGCTAGCAGGGCTGTTACTCGCCGAGGTTGTCCTCCAGTATGGCTGCCGTGGCTGCTAGTCACGTGACCGTAGGATCCCTCTATATTTGGTGTGCTCCCTGTGTGCTCTTACTGTCCTGTATGTGCGCTGCAACATTGAAATGTCTCCACTGTGGCACGAATAAAGGTTTTCTTATCTTATCTCATAAAAACAGAATGTTGTGTTTGAACAATTTACAGCAAGAGTCTGTCTGTTAGCTCTGGTCCACCACAGGATTAAAGCTGGGGTACCTATTTTCAAAATGGAGGTGTAATTATAAATAATGACTATGTATAGTCTTTGGTACGCTGTCCCACTCTTCTCCTCCTTTACTCCACCTCTCCTCCTCTCCTCCTCTCCTCCTCTCCTCCCCTCCCCCTCTCTTACTGGCCTCTCTCTGTGTTTTAAAGTGCAGAGCTGAAACTACCTGTAATGCGGGTAAAAGGTTCGGAGAATGGGCTTTGGGAACGAAAGGCGTCTCAGGGGGATTGTAATGCGCCTTCATCTCCACGGTGGGCTTCAGCGTTGCCCTGGAGACACGAGTGTGAGCGCACACACACACACACACACACACACATACTCCCTTCAATGATTCTGCCTTATTCTTAAATAAGGCAGAATTCCTAAATCTCAACAGTAGTCACCTCAGAGGACTTTACAAAGTTTTTGATTCTGGAACATTCAACGCCAGAATCATTCGCCAGAATCAACAACAACAGATCAGAAAATCAGTTCAAACACAGGACACAATGATAATGCTATAATAACAAACACATAGGAGATATTGGTCCATAAGGAGCAGGATGACCCCTGTCCAGGAATGGTCAAAAATGTGCATAACATTTCCTGGATCATGGCTGTCCTTAGACTCTCCTGCATCGGCAAGAAACCACTCAGAGAGGCCCACATTGAGATCTGAGGCTGTAGATCCAGGACTGAGGCTGTAGATCCAGGACTGAGGCTGTAGATCCAGGACTGAAGCTGTAGATGTAGGACTGAGGTTGTAGATCCAGGACTGAGGCTGTAGATCCAGGACTGAGGCTGTAGATCCAGGACTGAGGCTGTAGATCCAGTAATCAGCCTATAGATAGAAATACAACTTTTCCACACAGCCATAACAAGACCATCTCTTGTGAAGCAGCCTTTGTTAAACATATCTCTTGAATTGCACGTTCTCAGGGTCAAGGTGTCCGGTCCTCCGACTGATTGCTGCTCTGTCTGCTGCTCTGTCTGCTGCTCTGCCTGCTGCTCTGTCTGCTGCTCTGTCTGCTGCTCTGTCTGCTGCTCTGTCTGCTGCTCTGTCTGCTGCTCTGCCTGCTGCTCTGTCTGCTGCTCTGCCTGCTGCTCTGTCTGCTGCTCTGCCTGCTGCTCTGTCTGCTGCTCTGCCTGCTGCTCTGCCTGCTGCTCTGTCTGCTGCTCTGTCTGCTGCTCTGCCTGCTGCTCTGCCTGCTGCTCTGTCTGCTGCTCTGCCTGCTGCTCTGCCTGCTGCTCTGCCTGCTGCTCTGCCTGCTGCTCTGTCTGCTGCTCTGTCTGCTGCTCTGTCTGCTGCTCTGCTGCTGCTCTGCTGCTGCTCTGCCTGCTGCTCTGCCTGCTGCTCTGCCTGCTGCTCTGTCTGCTGCTCTGTCTGCTGCTCTGTCTGCTGCTCTGTCTGCTGCTCTGTCTGCTGCTCTGCCTGCTGCTCTGTCTGCTGCTCTGCCTGCTGCTGCTGCTGCTGCTCTGCCTGCTGCTCTGCCTGCTGCTCTGCCTGCTGCTCTGTCTGCTGCTCTGCCTGCTGCTCTGTCTGCTGCTCTGTCTGCTGCTCTGCCTGCTGCTCTGTCTGCTGCTCTGTCTGCTGCTCTGTCTGCTGCTCTGCCTGCTGCTCTGCCTGCTGCTCTGCCTGCTGCTCTGCCTGCTGCTCTGTCTGCTGCTCTGTCTGCTGCTCTGTCTGCTGCTCTGCCTGCTGCTCTGTCTGCTGCTCTGCCTGCTGCTCTGCCTGCTGCTCTGTCTGCTGCTCTGTCTGCTGCTCTGTCTGCTGCTCTGCCTGCTGCTCTGTCTGCTGCTCTGTCTGCTGCTCTGTCTGCTGCTCTGCTGCTGCTCTGTCTGCTGCTCTGCCTGCTGCTCTGCCTGCTGCTGCTGCCTGCTGCTCTGTCTGCTGCTCTGTCTGCTGCTCTGTCTGCTGCTCTGTCTGCTGCTCTGTCTGCTGCTCTGCCTGCTGCTCTGTCTGCTGCTCTGCCTGCTGCTCTGTCTGCTGCTCTGTCTGCTGCTCTGCCTGCTGCTCTGTCTGCTGCTCTGTCTGCTGCTCTGTCTGCTGCTCTGTCTGCTGCTCTGTCTGCTGCTCTGCCTGCTGCTCTGTCTGCTGCTCTGCCTGCTGCTCTGTCTGCTGCTCTGCCTGCTGCTCTGCCTGCTGCTCTGCCTGCTGCTCTGCCTGCTGCTCTGTCTGCTGCTCTGTCTGCTGCTCTGCCTGCTGCTCTGCCTGCTGCTCTGTCTGCTGCTCTGCCTGCTGCTCTGCTGCTGCTCTGCCTGCTGCTCTGTCTGCTGCTCTGCCTGCTGCTCTGCCTGCTGCTCTGTCTGCTGCTCTGTCTGCTGCTCTGCCTGCTGCTCTGTCTGCTGCTCTGTCTGCTGCTCTGTCTGCTGCTCTGCCTGCTGCTCTGCCTGCTGCTCTGTCTGCTGCTCTGCCTGCTGCTCTGCCTGCTGCTCTGCCTGCTGCTCTGCCTGCTGCTCTGTCTGCTGCTCTGCCTGCTGCTCTGTATGCTGCTCTGTCTGCTGCTCTGCCTGCTGCTCTGCCTGCTGCTCTGTCTGCTGCTCTGTCTGCTGCTCTGTCTGCTTGCACTTCAGGGTAATATGGGACCAAAGCTGTGGTCTGTGGTGCGCTGCTAAAGAGCACAGGGCCCGCAGTCTGCTGATAACACAGTGGAACACGCCTCTGTCGGCTGTAGTCTCCTCTGACACCTGTGGGTCATGTGTATTAAAGCTGGGTGCGTAACTTTCACACCATGATAAAATTGAACTATGTTCAATTTTATCATAGTATTATCTACCGCAGTTTACTTCCATCACTAGTTTTCACATGCACTGTCCTGGTCCTGGTCTTCGGTCCAGGTCTGTGTCTGGTCTTGGTCCTGGTCCTGGTCTTTGGTCCTGGTCCTAATCTAGTTTTCACATGTTAGTATTTTTGGACTTTTAGTTCAGCTTTTTCGAACAAAAAACTGAAATAGGGAGAACCACCTCAGCCATCAGCTCTCAGCCCAAAGATAGAGACCTATATATTTAAACAAATATTTCCTTTATTATAATCATATGTCTTCCACAGTTCTACCGGTGTCCACCGGTGTCACAAGAACTGAACCAATCTTTCTTTCAGACAAAGTCCAGTCCTTTTGGGGCCAGGCCTTGGGTTGAGACCTGGTCCTGGATTTACGGTCATATTAAGACCTGGTCCAATCCTGAATTATTCCTGCTTGACAACTGGTACAGTCCTGGTCCAATCCTGGTTATTCATTCCTGGTTCAGACTTGGTATTGCTCAGTGCTGGTTCCAACCTGTTTCAGTCCTGGTTTAGATCTGGTTTAGACCTGATTCAGTCCAGGTCTAGACCTGGTTTTGACCTGGTTATTCAGTTCTTGGTCCAGTCCTAGATACATAGACCTGGTTTGGTCCTGGTCTTTCAGTCCTGATACTGAATCCTTATTCATTATTGAGCCGCATTTCCACTGCAGGAACTTCAGGGTAATTTTCCAGGGCCAGCCCCGTCGGTGTCGGTCTCCACTGCAGGAACCTCCCCACAGGGCCATTCACAGGAACTTTTACGGGAGCCAACGGAGTACCTCCTCCATACTAGGTACTTTGTTCGGCCCTGAACACCTCATTGGGGGGCTTGAGGTTAACCTGGCGCTGATTGGTTAAAGCTTGAGCAGGCTCTGACAACAGCAGAAAGCACCAAAACAAAGGCATTAGCCGACACCAGTGGAAACAGCAAACAGCAACAGCAAGATGTACGATAAATGGACGGATGAGGTGAAGGTAATTGCCTTCTATGGCACACAAAAAATTCAGACGGGGTTTGATTCATCGCGGCGAAATAAAAAGATATAGCAGCGCACCTCGAAGCACTGGGGATTCATCACACTCAGAAACAACGCTGTGAAAAGATAAAAAAGAAGGACTATAAAAAACGTAGACCACAACAACTGGAGCAGTTACGACCATGAAAAAAAAAAAAATATTGATAAAGCACTGAGCGAAACTCATGACGTCGTTGAGAGGTCCTACTCTGCAGTGAGAGGCCACTGAGAGGCCGAGTGAGAGGACGGTTCCTGTAGAAGTTCCACCCCCCTCCCCCCTTCCCCTTTACCAGGAACTCCTGCTCTGGAAACGCGACTTTGGTTCAGTCCGTGGTTCGGTCCCTGGTTCAGTCCTTGGTTCAGTCCCTGGTTCAGTCCTTGGTTCAGTCCCTGGTTCGGTCCTTGGTTCAGTCCCTGGTTTAGTCCCTGGTTCAGTCCCTGGTTCAGTCCCTGGTTCAGTCCCTGGTTCAGTCCCTGGTTCGGTCCTTGGTTCGGTCCTTGGTTCAGTCCCTGGTTCAGTCCCTGGTTCAGTCCCTGGTTCAGTCCCTGGTTCGGTTCTGGCCTGGACCTGCTTGAGACCTTCTTCACCACTGTCCTACAGTGGAGTCTCCCTCACTCCCTGAACAAATTGTTGGGCTCCAGTTTCCACACGATAGATGAGTGATGTCACACGTTTGGATTTGAAACTGTTGCGTGTTTATAGACTGTGTGGTCTGGACCTGATTACCGCTGGGACCCGGGGAACGCACATACACGAGCCCACGTAATCCATCACGACTCGGGGAAATTATTACATCTAATTGCCGGCCTCCCCCATAGCCACGACCAGACGGGCCTCCCCCATGCCTCCCCCATACCCACGACCAGACGGGCCTCCCCCATGCCTCCGCCATAGCCACGACCAGACGGGCCTCCCCCATGCCTCCCCCATAGCCACGACCAGACGGGCCTCCCCCATGCCTCCCCCATAGCCACGACCAGACGGGCCTCCCCCATGCCTCCCCCATAGCCACGACCAGACGGGCCTCCCCCATGCCTCCGCCATAGCCACGACCAGACGCGCTCCCATGCCTCCCCATAGCCGACGCGGCCTCCCCCATGCCTCCCCCATACCACGACCAGACGGCCTCCCCCATGCCTCCCCCATAGCCACGACCAGACGGCCTCCCCAGCATGACGGGCCTCCCCCATGCCTCCCCCATAGCCACGACCAGACGGGCCTCCCCCATGCCTCCCCCATACCCACGACCAGACGGGCCTCCCCCATGCGAGCCTCCCCGCCCCCCATAGCCACGACCAGACGGCCCTCCCCCATGCCTCCCCCATAGCCACGACCAGACGGGCCTCCCCCATAGCCACGACCAGACGGGCCTCCCCCAGGCCCCCCCATAGCCACGACCAGACGGGCCTCCCCCATGCCTCCCCCATAGCCACGACCAGACGGGCCTCCCCCATGCCTCCCCCATAGCCACGACCAGACGGGCATCCCCCATGCCTCCCCCATGCCTCCCCCATAGCCACGACCAGACGGGCCTCCCCCATGCCTCCCCCATAGCCACGACCAGACGGGCCTCCCCCATGCCTCCCCCATAGCCACGACCAGACGGGCCTCCCCCATGCCTCCCCCATACCCACGACCAGACGGGCCTCCCCCATGCCTCCCCCATACCCACGACCAGACGGGCCTCCCCCATGCCTCCGCCATAGCCACGACCAGACGGGCCTCCCCCATGCCTCCCCCATAGCCACGACCAGACGGGCCTCCCCCATGCCTCCCCCATACCCACGACCAGACGCGCCTCCCCCATGCCTCCCCCATAGCCACGACCAGACGGGCCTCCCCCATGCCTCCCCCATAGCCACGACCAGACGGGCCTCCCCCATGCCTCCCCCATAGCCACGACCAGACGGGCCTCCCCCATGCCTCCCCCATAGCCACGACCAGACGGGCCTCCCCCATGCCTCCCCCATAGCCACGACCAGACGGGTCTCCCCTGCTGAGCCACAGGTGGTGACGGCCCACACACTCACGTCCTGCGTGGAACAATAAGACGTGAGTGTGTGTGTGTATACGTATGTGTGTGTGTGTGTGGCTGTGTGTGTATACGTATGTTTGTGTGTGTGTGTGGCTGTGTGTGTATACGTATGTTTGTGTGTGTGTGTGGCTGTGTGTGTATACGTATGTTTGTGTGTGTGTGTGGCTGTGTGTGTATACGTATGTTTGTGTGTGTGTGTGGCTGTGTGTGTATACGTATGTTTGTGTGTGTGTGTGGCTGTGTGTGTATACGTATGTTTGTGTGTGGCTGTGTGTGTATACGTATGTTTGTGTGTGGCTGTGTGTGTATACGTATGTTTGTGTGTGTGTGGCTGTGTGCCAGGCCTTAGTGAGAGGGATTTATTCATAACTTAGAAATGTCAGGTTGGGAGTGATACATTATCCTACAATGTGCTTTATGAGAAAAACAGTTCGGGGGTTTGAACCAATCAATCAATATCTCTGAGCTGAGAAGGAAAAACGCCAAGATTTCTGATATCAAACCTGTTGGATGTAGGTCTGAGCGCTGCTGCAGCTGTCAAAAGCCATGCATACACAGTAAAATACAGCTACAGAAGCAGGGGCAGGAGCAGGACTGAGGGTCTCGTTAGAAGAACTTTAAAAAGCCTTGCGGGCTACAGGAGAGACCAGAGAGACCAGAGGGACTGAAGAGAGAGACCAGAGGGAGACCAGAGAGACTGAAGAGAGAGACAGTGAGACTAAAGAGAGAGACCCGAGGGACACCAAAGAGACTGAAGAGAGAGACCAGAGGGAGACCAGAGAGACTAAAGAGAGAGACCCGAGGGACACCAAAGAGACTGAAGAGAGAGACCAGAGAGAGACCAGAGACTGAAGAGAGAGACCAGAGGGAGACCAGAGAGACTGAAGAGAGAGACCAGAGGGAGACCAGAGAGACTGAAGAGAGAGACAGTGAGACTAAAGAGAGAGACCCGAGGGACACCAAAGAGACTGAAGAGAGAGACCAGAGGGAGACCAGAAAGACTAAAGAGAGAGACCCGAGGGACACCAAAGAGACTGAAGAGAGAGACCAGAGAGAGACCAGAGACTGAAGAGAGAGACCAGAGGGAGACCAGAGAGACTGAAGAGAGAGACAGAGAGACTAAAGAGAGAGACCAGAGGGAGACCAGAGAGACTAAAGAGAGAGACCCGAGGGACACCAAAGAGACTGAAGAGAGAGACCAGAGAGAGACCAGAGAGTGAAGAGAGAGACCAGAGGGAGACCAGAGAGACTAAAGAGAGAGACAGAGAGACTAGAGAGAGACCAGAGGGAGACCAGAGAGACTAAAGAGAGAGACCCGAGGGAGACCAAAGAGCATGAAGAGAGGGACCAGACGGAGACCAGAAAGACTAAAGAGAGAACGAGAACCCAGAAATAAACCAGAAAGAGTGACCAGAGAAAGACAAGAACCATAAACCATAACAGTAATTGTCTTGGAGGACTTGGAGAAGTTCGCCAACAATAAATCAGAGAATCAAACAGTTCAAATACAGGAAATGGAACAAACACACCGTCTAGAAATGATAAAACACATCCTGGATATTCACTGTCCTTAGACCCTCCTGCATCGACAAGGAACCACTCAAAAACCCAGTCGGAAAAAAGTGAGAGACATTGGAGAGTCCCATATATGGAGAGAGATCTGCTCCCAACGGGTAGACAGACTGTATTGAAATGAAGGTAACGGTCGTATTATTCTAGTGGTATTATGATGTTGTTGAAGTACACACGCTACTTCCACACAATGAATTAATCTGAAAAACAGCGAGGCCACTAAGGAGAAGCGCGCTATAGTGAGGGGCCGCTGTACGACGAGCCACAAGTGCCACAAAAGCATCACTGAATGACGATGGTGGATCTCAAAGTGGATTTCCGTGGAGATGAAATTAATTTGACCTTCCGCTAAAGCTATTATTCACTACAAATGTTTTATTTTGTACAGACAGAAGTGGCGTGTGTGTGTGTATGTGTGTGTGTGTGTGTGTGTGTCGCAGGCAGCTGGAGACTTTTGTGTTCTCTTCCACACAAGCATCATGCCGTCTGCCCGATGTGTTCACGATCTGTTAATAACAAAAACACTTTTCTCCAAAAGCCGCATTCACACTGAGATTTGTTTCACCGTTTGCTAAAGAAAAAAACACACTAGTTATTAAGAGTAAACAGCGTGTTTTATCGGACCAATAATCACAATCAGAGGAGACCAGCGGGACGAACGTCATGTCCACAACGACTCACGTTTGACGGAGCTGAAGTACAGTTTCATGAGATCTGAATGTTTGAGCCATGATCACAAACACATGTTAATACAAAGACAAAACAGAAGAGGTTCCAAGCTTAAAGGAGCAACGTGTAAACAATATTTTATTCAAAAAGAGAATGGTTTATTAATGCCTTTTGAAATATTAGGCCCATTTAATGATGATTTGACATGAAATTCTTACATATTGCTACTTTAACAATAATGTACAGTATATCTGTTCTTATGGTGGCCCTTAACAAAGAAGAGGGCCACTGAAAATGACACAGCGTTTGGCCCCCGGGCTTCATTTGGCCCCCAGGCTTCATTTGGCCCCCAGGCTTCATTTGGCCCCCAGGCTTCATTTTAGACCTGCCTGATCGATGTAGGCCCCATGTCTGTCTCCTTTAACACAGATGCATTAACAGACAAGAGCGGGGTTAGCGCTTGTGCCTCACAGCAAGAAGGTCCTGGGTTTGATTGTACCCCCAGACAGGGTCTTTCTGAGTGGCATTTGCATGTTCTCCCCGTGTCTGCGTAGGTTTCCTCCGAGTGCACCGGTGTCCCGATGTGTGTTGGTTACCTCTGTGTGTGTTGATGCATTCTGTGTGTGTTGCTGCTCTTTGTGTGTGTAGCTGCCCTCTGTGTGTGTAGCTGCCCTTAGTGTGTGATGCTGACCTCTGTGTGTGTTGTTGCACTTAGTGTGTGTTGCCAACCTTTGTGTGTGATGCTGACCTCTGTGTGTGTTGCTGCCCTTAGTGTGTGATGCTGACCTCTGTGTGTGTTGTTGCCCTTAGTGTGTGTTGCCAACCTTTGTGTGTGATGCTGACCTCTGTGTGTGTTGCTGCCCTTAGTGTGTGTTGCCGACCTCTGTGTGTGATGCTGCCCTCTGTGTGTGTTGCTGCCCTTAGTGTGTGTTGCCGACCTCTGTGTGTGATGCTGACCTCTGTGTGTGTTGCCGCCTTCTATGTGTGTTGCTGCCCTCTCCTGTTGTGTGTCACTCCCGCTCTCTGTGCAGAGCGGTGTGGGCGACAGAAACTTCCTCATCAGCAGCTATTGTTGAGCCGAGGACACTGCCCAGGGAGGAGCCCACACACACACGCACAAATGCACACACACACACACACGTACAAATGCACACACACACACACACGCACAAATGCACACACACACCAACCTACAAACAGTTTCACATTTGGCAAAAGGATGTGTCAAAACGTTGCAGTTTTGCTTGAAATTTTTATTTATTTATAGTGAGTTTGTAATTTGTGTCAGTGGTTATAGTATTTGTAATATAAGATAAAGATATGAGAAAAAGCTAGCCTAGGGAGCCGCCTCAGTCTGTATTAAATGTAACACAATCTAACATGGTGTGGTGGAATTGTAAGCTCATAGTTTTATAGTTTGACAGAAAGGCATCTTTTCAATTCAATTCTTGCTCACATTAACACATACTAAACACTGTGGGCAACTATTGCTCTGGATGTTATTGCGGAACCAGTTGGGATACAAAAGGGCCGCCTGGTAAGCACAAATGTCAGAGAGTTTTGAGCATAATGCAAAAATGAAATGGTTCTATGAGTCTTTGGAGCCGAGAGGAAGTGAGAGGAGCTGACACAGAGGTTCCACTGGGAGCTGTGTCGGTGTGTGTCTGTGTGTGTGCTTGTGTGTGTGTGTGTGTGCCTGTGTGTGTGCGTTTATATAGTGCATGTGTGTGTTTGTGTGTCCCTTTTGGTCTTCATTGAGCTATTGGGTAAGCCTAGTCCATCTGTATACAGTTCATAAGTGAAAAATCGCCAGCGAAACTTGAGTCCAGTTGTATATCGTTTTAAACTTAAGTAAATTCGTGAGTGTGGCACAATGGTTACTGAGTTAGAGGAGTTTACTTTCACATGTAAGTCAATTGGAGCCAGAGAGAGTTGGAGCCAAACCTGAACACATCCCTACGGGGCTTCGTTGGGCTAGCGGGTTAGCATTGTCCATCTATATACAGGGAAGCATATAAACTGCTGCTACATTCATGAACCACTTCTGAACCTTGTATTGTATTGCAGTATTCTGTGAGCCCAGAGCAGAGTACACCTGCGGAGCCCGGCTTTGTGAATGAAAAAAAGACATTTGTACGTTTGGAGAGCAGAGGCCAATCACGCCGAGCTGAAATCACACAGCGGCGAGGCTTTCAGATGGAGAGAGAGAGAGAGAGCGGAAACCGGTGCACATTTGTGGCATTTGGATGAGAATAACTGTGATTATGAGTCAGATTGAGCTGGTGCCAAAGACCTGTGGCTTATGAGATGCGATCAGACAACATCTCAGGAGGACCAGTGTGACCATAAAAGTGAAAGAAAAGAAACAAATCTAGCAGAAAATATAAAGAGCTTGTCAGGCTTAACTCAGGTTTTCGTCCATCCGTAGGGGATCTAAAGGTTGCATTTTTGTGGCAGTGAGTATTTCACAGGTTTTAAGACATTTCTGAATACTTATGTGGAAAATGAGACGTACAGAGACAATGGGAACTTTCGCACAGTTCCAGAATGAAGCACTGAGCTACAGGAGAATATGCAGTATGCAAACAATTTTGGTCTTTAAGTTATAATGGTGACGACAGTGGCTCAGTTGGTAGAGCATTGGCCTTAGAGCCTGAAGGTCGTGGGTTCGACTCCCACTGAT